ACCCGAGAGGGGAACTTTGCAGACCTCGAGTCATACCGGCTTACACAGCTCCTCTGGGAATATTAATGACATGTGGCTGTCACTTTAAGTGAGGAGTCTGGGCTTTCCCGTGTGGGTCATCATCCTTTTTATTTTTCCTATAAAGCCCACAGAGAGACAGGTCTGTTCATCACCCACAACGGGAGAGCAAGCGCCGAGCCACTGGAGGGCGCCCAGGCTGCACTTTTGAGGAAACTTGGAATTTCCTTGACCCATATTTTCCTGTTGAGTGTTCTGGTGGCAACAGCATTTTGGATTGTTTGCTCAGTAGATCTGAAGGCAGTTCCAAAGCAGGTCATCGAGAACGCGCACTGCCGTGTTTCCAGGACGTGTGTGTGTGTGTGTGTGTGTGTGTGTGTGTGTGTGTGTGTGTGTGTGTGTGTGGTTAGATCCCACCCGAGGCCACAGTGCTAAGCTCCTCAGCACAGCCAGTGTCTTTGGAGCCTGGCTCCCCCACAGGCGTGGGGAAGGGCTTTTGGCCACCTTGGACACAGAAGTAAGAGTAAGATCTCCGCTGCGTTTGTTGAAGGAGACCAGACCCAGGGCTGTGGAGAGAGTGGGCTCTGTCAGGGACCCTTCAGGGCTGCGGTCTGAGTTCGCTCAGCTGGAGGAGGCCGGTGCCTTCACTACCGTCAGCTTCCTCCCCCTTTCTCCGAGTTTCCCATTTTCCCACTCCTGTGATCAAAGCCTCAGGGGAGGGAGGGTGGCTTACCCGCAGATAGCGAGGAAGAAAGGCCTTTCAGGTGGCCCTGCGTCAAGCGTCCCCAGTGCCTTTTATCCCCGCTTTTGCCACCTCTCTTTCCACCTGATGACACCCTCATTAAGCCCCAGGCTCTCCTCCCCCTCCCCCTCCCTCCCCTCCCCCTCCCCCTCCCCCTCCATGATGGGTCACACTGTCCCCCTCTCTGCCTCCACCCTTCTTCAGCTGTGGCTTGTCGCTAGGCAACGCCCCCACTCTCCTTTCTTACTCCTCCTCCAGGGCCTTTGCCCCCTCCTGTCTTGTGGTTGGCCACAGGTGACCACAGGCATTCAGTGAGTGGGACAGGGAAGCGAAGGTGGGGGAAGGGCGCTGCCCCTCTCTTAGCTGTCACGCAGCACGGGCCTTGAGCACCGAGAGGCGATTGGCTCCCTAGGTGATACAATGATGGGCGCCAGGTCCCACCCTCCTGAGTCCCTGTGTATTAACAAGGCGATGGTGGAAGTTTGAGGGCTGCCGGCGGGGGGGCGCTGCCTTGTGCCTTGGTCCCCATCCTTGTCCGACCTCGGTGGGGCACCGACAGGGCTGAGAAGCCCAGCAAACACCCACTCTCTTAGGGAGACCTGCCAGCTGTGACAGTGGACATGGATGGAGTACCATTACACAGAGCGACAGTGTCCGGCGATCACAGTTGGGCTAACGTATGCTGCGGCCTGGCCAGGGCTGGAGGGAAGCCACTCAGTGTGTCCCGGGGAAGTCTCGCCCTGTGGCCACTCTAGCATGCCTAGGCGAGCAGACCCTCTCCTTAGAGTGCACAGAAGTCGGAGGCCACGCGCGTCTTGGGACTTTGAGTGACCCAAAGGGACCTGCGACAGTTCAGATTGGGGTCAGAACATAGATAGGCTCCTGCCTGGCCTTCAGGAGCCCCTGCTTGGTCAGGTGGGGGACACGCGGGCTTCTCGAGGCCGGACAGCTTAACTGGGGTGGACAGTGAACATTTCACCGACAGCAGTTCTTGGCCCTTGGAGACCGGTTGAGAGCAAGTGTGTGTCAGGAGCAGGTAGATGGTGCTCAGGCAGGTCACAGAGCCTGCTGTGGACAGGGAGCTGTTTCCCCTGTCTCTGGCAGCTGGCCAGCAGCTGATGCTGGCGTCTTGGGACCCACTGACGTAGTCTTTCCTCTGTGCACTCAGGTTGTGTGGCACTGAGCTGCACTGGCCATAGCTCCCCAGGCTCCCAGGCCCAAGAGAAACCACAGTCTCTGGGTTTCTCTATGCTTCCCCTACATGGCCAGGCCCCTTCTTAAACCCCGAGGCCCAGGACCAGCCCCGTGCTATCTCAAACTCTATAGTCCAGCGTTCGAGCCCGCAATCCCACAAAAGCAGCAGCAGTGAGCAGCTATGGCTGCTGTCATTAGTGCAGACCGAGGCGCAGACCGAGGCGCCTTCTGTCTGTGGCAGGGCCACCGTGGTAGATGTGATGAGCAGCACCTAGCTATGATTAAGGGGTTTTACAGTCCGTGGTGACGAGGGGGGGATGACGGGGGGGGGACGACGATGACGCGCACTAGCAGATGGGTGCGGTGGTGGGGTAAGTGCCTTGCAGCTCACCCTGTCCAGGGAGCCACCGAACTCGCGCGCGCGACAGCCCCGGCCCCGCCACACGGGGTTGCTCCCCTGCCTCATCCCCTCAGGAGATAGGGTCAGCAGATAGAATTGTGCCGTGAGTGAGCGTGCCCTGCGAGTCTGGTCGCCAGCACTTCCCGCTGTCATGCCCACCTAGCTGCCCTCTCAGGTCCAACACACCCGCTGTCCTCTCCTGCCCCGTGGTGACCCCTGTCATGCATGCGCTTGCTTTGATTGGTTCAGGGCATGTGGTGTGCACTTGCACGTTCTGCAGGCAGGCATGAGCACATAGGCATGTTGTCCTGGGGTGCCGTGCGTTGCCCAGGGGTTCCTGCCCAGTTGTGTGCTGTAGCAGAGATCCGGCTTCCCATCCGGGGGCGGGGGCACGGTGTACCCCAGGTAGGGATGAGGCGCCAAGAGGCGATGATTGGAGTGAGCATCTCTTGGTCTGGGTGTGTTTCCCACCAGCCTGTGTTTCTCCTGGGGTGTGGGTTGGGCCCTCGCAGCAGCCTGGGCTCACAGCAGGTGTCGTAAGAGGTAAGGAGGGCTGCCAGAGCCTTTCAAAGGCTGTTTTAGCTCTATCAGGGAGGTAAAATTGCATGGTAAGTCACAGTAGAAAGAATTACGTGAAGAAACAGACCATACAATACCCAGATTTGAGCCTGTGGGGGAGAAGTGGTAATGGGCCCCAGCGATGTCGCCTCCAGCCGGCGGGCGAGCTTTCCCTCGCCCAGAGGATGCACACAGGCCCGTGCCTAAGTGCTGGCTTTCTCTTAGCTAAGGATAATGGTGCCATCTCCTGCAATTTCTTCTCTTTATAGAATCAGCCTGCAGAGTTTCAAGTCCCCATTTAGGGTGGGAGCAAAGCAAAGCTCTCCCCGGTTCATCTCCAGGCTTTTAGGAGGAGAGAGCTGCAGAAGATGATCTGGGGACCTGGGCTGGGCACCCTGTGGTGGCCAGCTGGGTGGCAGCACCCACGTTTGCCTCAGAGAGCTGAGATCGTCCTGGAGAAACAGCCGGCTGGGCTTGTCTTCTGGCTCCCCCAAAGCCCAGCAACCGCTTTCTCATTTCACAGAGGCCCCTGGGACTGGAGTGTCTGGGTCACTGGGAACCCGGAGTGGGTGGGAGGTGAACACTTCCCAGGTGGCAGCTGGGCCGTGGGCTGTGCCTGCCAGTCTGGCCATTTGGGTCTCCTGAGGCGGAGACCCTTTCTTGGCTGTCCCCCCTTCCATGCCTGGAATTCCCTGCCATCTTGTGCCCATCCGCGAGGCCTCACAAGGCCTCCACCAGATCCTCATGAGGCCTGGGAGCTGTAGCATCTCCCTAGGGGCCCTCTGGGAAGCAGCCAGAGGCTAGGCAGTGTGTGGTCCGGGGGGCCGTTGCAGTGTGGGGGCTTAAGCAGTGTGTCCTGTGTTTCTTCTTGAATAGCAAGAGAGCCGGCCTTAGTTTTTGTTTTGTTGTTACCCAGAGTTCAGCAGGAGGCCGTTGGGCATTCTCCGTGCAGGTGGCACAGAGGCAGAGACACAATGGGCTGTTTTGCCTGTGCTGTCTGCTGTGGGGGCCCCAGGGGACCTTGGGAAGCACAAGAGATTCAGCCATGGCAGTTGTGAGGAAGAGAGAGCTATGCGAGTGTCTGGCATCTTGTCAGCCCCATGAGGGTTGGACAAGACCCCGGGAAGAAAGCAGGGTGTCTCCAGAGATCAAGGCCCCACAGGGGGGATAAGGTCCCCTGGAAGCCAGCAGAGTCCCATCACTGCAGAGTGCAGTGGTCCGGGCAAGGCATGGGCAGGAAGCTGGAGATGGGACAACAGTCAGGCCCACTCCACAGGAAAAATGCAAGGTTCTCTGGGGAGGGGGCAGGCAGAGGCAGCCCTCCCTGTCAGATGCTGGAGTCTCGTTGGCACAGCCCCCCACCCCCCATTGACAGGAAGTTTGACCGTGGAGGTGAAGGCCCATGGAGGCATGTGTGAAGTGGCTGTAGGATGGTGCGTGGCCGTGCTGATCTGCACGGACCAAGCCCAGCCTCACTCCTGGATGGACTGCTGCGACAGTAGTTCCAGCGGCCGAGGATGCCACCTCTGCCGAGGGCCTCTTGGGTAACTGCACACTGCATTGGCCTCTGAAGGGTCACAGCTGTTCTCGGCCCCCTTGTTCTGGGGAACCTAATGGAGGACTGGCCTGACTTCTGGGCAGACCTCCCCAAAGGCACGCCCGCATCGTGAATGGGGAGGGCCTGGGGGATGGGCTGTGCTCAGGAGGTGGTGTTGGGGTCACCAGGCAGCTCGCAGCCTCGGTACCGCTAAGTCAGGCCTACCTCAGAGCTGGGCACTCCCAAGCAGCAGGTGTGAGTGTCGAAGCCTCCAGTAGTGGACGGTGTGTCAGAGAGCTGAGTGTCCAGGGACCAGAGTGTCCAGGAATCATGGTCCTGGGTCGCTTGGCCCACGCCTGGCAAGGCTGCTGCTACAGAGGGAAGGGCGTGGGCATGAGAAGGCAACCTTGTGTACAGTCTCAGGCCCATGGAACTGCGTTGGCCACAGTTTATGCAAACAGCCAGTTATAGATGAGGTGGGAGGCATCGTGGGCCCTCTGGGCTCTCGGCCCTGCAGACGCTAATGGCCCCTTGTGCACCCCAACCCCCAGGCACACCAGCGCCAGCAGCCCGGGACCTTGCTGCGACCCAGGACTCTCCTGTGGGACCAGGGGTAAGTCCAGGCTCAAGGGGGCCTCTCCCGCATTCTAGAATCAGGGGCCAAGGACTTCATTCAGATGCTGGGGCTGGGGTATGTCTGGTCCCCCCTGCCTTGTCCCGCAGCCTGCGTCAACCATCTGACTCCCAGGTCCACTTGCCATCCAGGTGGCTTCCTGCCCAGTTAGTGATCCTGGACCTCACCATCCACACTTAAAGTGCCCCATTCTCTCGGCGGGAGGCTCACTGAGTCAGTGCCGTCGGCCGCCTGAGACACTAGAGCCTGGCCTCCACCCCCTCCCAGAATGGCACGGACACCACACAGCAGCTGGCCGATGGGCCAAGCACTGGTGTTGGCACGACATCTGGATAGCCAGCTGCCTCTCAGCCAGCATTCACCTCCATAACCCAGAACTCTTTGTGCAAAAAGAACGGTTCTTCCTGGCTGGGCCGTTGGTAGCTGAACGAGCTGGGGGTTCACGTTCCCAACCCTGGGCGGTACTGGTGACATTTTTAGCATCGTCCTGAAAATTGAGCTTTAGGGCAGCCAGACCTAGGGTGCAGTCTGTAGGCCACTTCCTACTTCTTCTGGCCTAGCAGTCTGAAGAGGACCAAAATGGACTCTAAAGCCCCCTTCCCGTGCCCCGGGGATACTGCCCATTGCATGCCACTCCTGCCCTCATCCCGTTGAGCCCCCTCTGGGCTAGCTGTCCTTACTGATAGCCATCATCCCTCAGAAGTGTGCACTGGAAAAAAATCCAGCCGTGACTAGAGACGTTTGCTTTAGTGCAGCCCAGAGACACGCCCCACCCCACCTTTTCAGGTTAGCGTTCACTTCCCACTGGTGGAGACAGACTTTGTAGAGACTCAGTACTCTGAACTTGCGGTAGTTCTCCACAGCAGCCCGGCTGTCGAGGCCATTTGTTACCCTGACAGAGGTGAGAGCCTGAGGCGGATCATGCTCTGAGGACACGGGGGTGCAGATTCTGTCCCCAGACTTCCCATTGACCTCCTAGTGTGGTTCCCTGCCTTGGTGGGGGAGCCTCGGTGGACAGGGAGCTGGACAGAGCCGTGGAGGTGTCCACTGCAAGGACAGGGAGCGAAATCCGGAGGGCTATGTGAGCATCCAGCCGTGCAGCCCTCTCCTCCTTACCTGGTCCTCCATCGTGACTGCTCGGATTCACACTGTACGCTACCAGAGATCACAGCACCAGCGCCAGGCCTCCAGGCCTCCTTATAATCACGAATTAAGGGAATTTGGAGGGCTCTGGATTTCAGGGCAGCCGCTGGCTCAGAAAGGGCTAGAGTCACTCCCATTGGTGCCGCATAGGAGTCGTCTTCCTCTCCCATGCGTGCGCTTCTGTGTGCTGGGGGCTCCGTGCATTGACTGGCATGCTCGGGGCATTTCACCCAGAACTCCTGTCTTGCAGCTGTCACTGTCCCAGCTGGTGGCCTCCCCACAGTCTCCTGCTCCACGCAGCAGCTCTTCCAACCCCCCGCCTTGGTCCCTGGACAGCCCCTCAGTCCCTTCAGGGTCCCCAGCTCCAGGTAGTGAGTCTACCCACCCTGTCCTTGCCTGGGTCTAGACACTAGCTCGTCACCTCCTGATGGGTAACAGGGCCTTGGGGTGTTTCTTTGTGATGTGGGCTGTGGGATGGGGAGGGCACGGGAGTGGGTAGGTGCTGCCTGACTTCCCACCTTAGACATTTGCCACCAATCTGAGACCAAACCGGAATGTGACGTTTTGCTGCCCAGCTTGGCATTTGGTGTTCCCAGGGCATCAGGACATCAGGTGTCTGGCCTGCTCATGAAACTTGTGATTTCTTCCCCATTGCTTTATAACTCACATAAGAGGTTGCTGTATGAGACACAGAATGGCCGGTTAACCTTGACTTACAGATAAAAGACACAATCTTTAAAAATTTACTGTTTACTTTTTAGTTTGGCCCAAGCATTGCATGGGGTAGATGCTGAAGTCAGTCATTGGTTAGCTGCCCCGTTAAAGTCCCTGAGCTGATGACCTCCACCCCTACCCCTGCTGCCCTCCAGAAGTCATTCGGGCAGTAAACCCTTGGACCTGAGCACCTCTGGGGTCCATCGTGGCAGGTTCCTGCTGCACACCTGGAGCCCTGGGTTTTGTTCAGCAGGAATCCGTGTTAGAGGCCGGGGTCTCCCACCTGGAAGCTGACCTGAGCCAGACGCCTCGGTTCTGGGGAACGCCTGCTGTCGATCATCTGCAGGAACTCCCCTTCACTCCCCTTGCACGCCCCCATTGTTGTGGGAGCCCAGACCAGGAGGTGAGGGCTTGATGGTGGAGGCCTTGGGGCTCTGATGCTGGACGAGCGAGCGAGCGGCGGCGAGCGAGCGAGCGGGCTCTGGTAGAGAGGCGTGCACAGCACCGCCTGGGCTGAGGGCTTTTTCTGTTTCAGCTCCAGGAGTCAGCTCTCGAGAGCTGCAATGGCGCTCCTTCGGTCATCCGGCTTCCCTGAGATTCTTGATGCTTGCCAGCAGCCGGTGGAAGGCGTCAATCCCATAGACCCTGTGAGATTCAACCCTCGGAAGGAGGAGTCGGATGGTCTTCAAGGGAATGAGATAGTGCTGCAGTTTCTTGCCTTCAGCAGGTAGTCCCGCCATCGCGCTCCCCGTCCTCCTCAGGCTGAAGGTCCTCTCCCAGCATGCTCCATGCTCAGGCTTTGGCCTGCTGGCACAGGGCCATCTGTTTTCTGTGTTAATTGATACCTGTAATGATCGTATGCGTTTATGGGGTGGTTGGTGATCTGATGTGGGATATGGGTGTAATGACTATTTTAGTTTGTATTTTCTGTTGCTGTACCAATGAAGAGACACCACGACCACATAAAGGCGTTTAGCTGGGTGGCTAACAGTTCAGAGGTTCAGTCCACTGTCCTCATGATGGGAAGCATGGCCGAGTGCAGGCAGACATGATGCTGGAGAGGTAGCTGAGAGCTCTTGCATCTTGACCTTGCAGGCAACAGGAAGTGGTCTAGAACACCGAATAGACAAAGGCATATATGAGATATCAAAGCCCACCCCTCAGTGTCACACTTACTCCAACAAAGCCACGCCTCCTGTCAGTTCACTCTCTGAGCTTATGGGGGCCTTTTCATTAAGACCACCACAACTGAGTCAGTAACCAGTTACCTTCATCTTAAACACTGGTGTTTTTCTCGTGCCTGACCCCAAACCGCCATCTGTCCTTATATTCCTCTGGCTGGGACCCTCCTTTGTAAATGCCAGAAGCCCCGCTTTGTGGGCTGGTTAAAACCCGCCCCGCGTGCACAGTTCTCAGACTCCAGCGTTGCTGAGAGTAACACAGGCCAGGAGGTCTTGGCACCTGGAATAGCCACCGTCCCGTTCTCCAGGGGACAAAGCTGTTCTCGGTGGTGACTGAGGAACCTTGGTGACCACAGTGCCTTTCCTATCCCTGTGCACCCCGGGGAGCTTCTCCGTGGATGTCTGATTGCTTCCCTGTTGTTGTGTTCAGAGCGGCCCAGGACTGCCCAGGAGCACCATGGCCACAGACTGTGTATTTCACCTTCCAGTTTTACCGTTTCCCACCTGAGACCACTCCACGCCTGCAGCTGGTCAAGCTGGTGGGACAGGCAAGAGCAGCTCCGGTTCCCTGTCCCATGTCCTCGTCCCCATTAGCAAGACGGCTCCTTTGATGCTGGTAAGTGGTGGATGCAGAATGCCTGTGCTATACTTTGTGTGGGTTCGTTATTTTATAATTCCTTTTCTTTTTACTTGTTTGTGTGTGTGTGTGTGCCTATTTATGTATGTGTGTCCTGTTTTGTATTTGTGTGTGTGTCTATCACCATGTGTGTGTCTGTGTGTGTGTTTATGTATCTGTCTGGGTCTGTCTCTTGGGGTGTGTGTGTGTGTGTGTGTGTGTGTCCATGGAGACCAGAAGAGATCTCCTGGAGTTGCAGTCACAGTGATTTCAGGCTATCCCAATGTGGGGCTGGGAACCAATCTCTTTGCAATAGCGGCCATTGATCTTACCTACAGGTTATCCTCTTCAGTCCCATGAATGTTTTGCCTATGAGAGGTGCATTGTGCAGTTTGTCATATGTGCAGGCCTTGAGGGAATGGTGTGATGGCTGTGTGTGTATAAGACCAAGCTGCATGGTTGCCAGCTGTGTTGGACCCAGGATCAGAGTCAGCCTTATGTTGGTGTGAATCCCATTTTTTCAAGTGTTTCTTTACATAGTGCTCTGAAACTCAGGCTCTGAGAAACATAATGTCAATAGTATAATCCCATCTAAAGAATTAAAACTAGTTGCTAATGCACCCCCAGCTGTCTTGTCAATGTTACAGTTTTTGCAGATATTCATTGTTTTAAACATAATTTATTCAGATATGAGGTCTCAGGCTGTGAGTTAGCTCAGTGGGTAAGGCGCTTGCTGCCAAGCCTAACGACCAGGTTCGTTCCCCACGGAGACCCAGGCTGGAAGGAGAGAACTAATCCCTGCAAGTTGTTCTCTGAGACTCTACCCGTGTGCTGTGGCAGTGTGCATGTATGCACATACGCCATGCTCACACCCACACACACACTATATACACGCACTCACACACATGCTCACACACATACACACACTCACCCACTCTCACACACACACACGCTCACACACACACATGCTCTCTCTCACATACACACACTCATGCTCACGCACACACTCACAGCACTCACACACTCCCCCTGCACTCACACACACTCGCATGACACATGCTCTCTCTCTCTCACACACACACACACACTCACACACACACACACTCTCCTCACTATAATTAAAGGCAGGAGCTGACAGAGGCCCCTTGCTGTGGTGGGCTGAGCCACTCCATTCTGGCTGTGCTGTGTGTAG